ATTTCAGTGAAATTTTGATCAAGGGAAATGAAATTTACTTCAGTTTTTTGTGCTCTTTTTGACTAAGTGGGTCTCGTGTTGTTTATCCCATACTAAACCGACTCTTACCCAGCCCCTTTCCGTTTGTAACTAGGCAATTGAACTACTTTTACTTTACGTTTCTTTCTTTAGAACTGGTTTAAGAGAAAAAGGTACAGACGGCGAAGAGAATCACCTTCCGTAGAGCATCATGCCCAGTCTTCAAACTCTGTTACTCCGGAGCAGTCAGTACCAACCACAGAGAATATTATCTGCCGTAAAACCGTTATTCATTACACGACTGGAGGCGCTGTTATACAAATAAATTGAATCGTAAGGAAGTACGAAAGTTGAATGCATGTAACACTCTCAACAGGAAAGAATATTTTATATATATAAAATGTATAATAGTTTATTAAAACTCTCTTTCAGAAAAATCTCAATTAACGAGTTAAATTACAAAAATCTATGAATAATTCTATAAAATACATTGTACTACAATAAAGATTAATCATAATTATTGAAATATCGAAATGTAAATTAATTTTCTGCCCTCTTGGTCCTACAGGTAATAAACTCATTAAACAAATAGATTGTGTCTGCGTTCTTCCTTAGATTGCGCTCGGGCTGATTAATGAGTGGCCTTGGCAATAGGAAGTGTAAAGGATGGCCTTTAGATTTCACCTTATCCAAGCACTTAAAACACAGTTCATCTGTTCTTTTCTATAGTCTTGATATGTTTGCTATTTCCAAGGCCTCCGTTTAGGACCAGGCTTCTGGATAAATTATCCTCAGAGCCTTTTTTGCACCCCCTCGATTACATCGAATTGAGACATGAATCGAAAGTTTCTTAAAATCTATAGCTACCAGGATCCCACGGAGGAATATCCTTATATATCGAATCCTCGATCACATCATAATCATCATCATCATCATCATCGTTATATCAAGAGGCACCTTTTCTAAACCCTTTTTCTTGGACGCTAATCAGCATCAACATCTATAAGAGATATCAGACGCCAATTCTTTACCAATCTTTTTTCTTTTTCTTTTTAATCATCATGGCAATAACAGCCTGTTTCTGTGAGTTTGAAAGCTCACCGAATTCAAACAAGAGAGAATGAGGAACTCTCTTCCCTCATTCTCTCTTGATTCGAAGGAATAATTCAAACTTTCCACTAACAAGTTTCCAACAAAGACCAAAAAGCCAGGTATGAAGCATTTCCTTACAAAACGTGGCGAACCGTTTACATGATAGCAAAAAGTAGGTCACCCTTCTAGCCGGACCCAGCCTAGTCCCTAGGCGTTCTCGGCTAAGTCAACCCTGGACTCTACCGTGAGCTGTCGGGCGGACAACGGGGCAAGAGAGAACGCCTAGGGACTAGGCTGAGCCGGACCAACTCCATTTAGAAGAAACACTTTGGCTGGACCAGCCGGGTCGAGTCGCTCAAGGCGAGACAATCATGAGAGCATGCGTGAGCGCTATTTTTGAATATCAGAGCAGGCACAAGGGGTACGGGCGCAGTTGGTTAGGGCAAAGGGGTGAAATTTTCCTCATATATACTCTCCCTATAGTTGACTCGGCTGGGAGTACTATAAACACTGCTAAGATCAGAAAGAAATGGAGCATTGTGTATCATGTCTGTCCACTGAATCTTAGGCCCTCCGACTACTTTTTTTTCTAAGGAGTAGTAAAAGAATTATCTCTTTGTGTCAAAAACGTTTGCAGGAATGCCGCCGCATACTTCGTTGGCAAGGCACGCACTAAAGAACTCTAAATTTGTACCCAGGCAAATGCTTCGGTATAATACACAATCAATCAGTGATGAAGTTGATTTCGATAAGTTGAGTTTACTAACGATTCAACCTTATTCCGGAAATGAGGCATATTTTTCTGCAAGTTATATTAGCTCTGACTTTGAGTTGAGGGCTGGCTTAATTTTGAAATGTTTACCCACATTCGTTTCAAAGTGGAATGGAAAGTCGATCTACAATTTGAGTGCAATGATTTGTTAAAAAAAAAAAAACATTTTTATCTCCAAATCTAAGGCGCAATCCATTCAACAAATTTAAATTTTTCGAACCCTTCGAATGGAACGCGTCTTCAAACCAATCTTCAGCTTAGTTCTCTCGGGGTACTAATTCCGCCCCCCGTGTCAGTTAAATCGAACCGATTGATTTAATTTTCAAACCGAAATATCTGGACATTTTGTAACTGGAGATTGGAATGGTCAAATCATTCAAGAAAAACGGTGGACCATTTATCCTGAAGCTTTTCGAGTTGGCCACCGAATCAAGCCATTCCCTGGACCAAAATTTCCAGATATTTTGGTTGAATGGAGAAGAACCCTCGAATCTTGGGCTCCTTCGGACTGACTTATCTCTTCTCTAGAGAAAACCGTTCGTTACACGAATTTTGTAGCAGGTGTAGCAAATTTTCTTCTAGACGCAGAAATAACGAAATTAATCAGTTTAATGATTTGAAATTCCTAATAGCGTCGCTTATTTTCGAGTACAGACTAACACAGAAACTAAAATTTGATTTTTTTTGTATCATGATATTATAAAGCCGGTTATATACACATTTTTAAATTCTTAATGATTAAGCATGTATTACATGTTCAGTAATCAGTTTCTTTCTCATTTTTTCATTGTATCATCGGGAGTAAATTAAACATTTTGTGCAGAACACATTTTCGTGACTTTCTTTCGAGATTAAATTAAACATTTCGTGCAGAACACATTTTCGTGACTTTCTTCCTGCACAAAAAGGCTTCCTTATGACGTGGCCAAGTTTCCCAGTTAAATTTCTGACGTTAAAGACCCGAGATAGTTAATCTCGGTATTTTGTTTATTGATATCTGAGGCGTCAAGACCTTGCCTCGTTCCCAGACGTCTCCATCTTGACGTAACCGTGCGTGCAAAGGAAGGAGGGAAGGGGAAATCTTCTGACTCCTTCCCGTGGTCCCCTGCGCCTCATCACCACTCAGTTTTCGCGCAACGTTCCGTCCTTTATCGGCCAGAACTCTTAGGAAAAGTCCTGGGGACGAGGTTGACCGCGTGGGGTATCGCCTCCAGCCACGAAAGAGCGGGAATCGATGTCCCACCCATTAGATAAAGCTTTTCACGCCTACACCGAACTATTTTACTCGACATTTCTCTCTCTAGAACTGGTTTAAGAAAGTCGTTACAGATGGCGAAAAAACCTGCCATCCTTAGGGCGTCCTCTACCACCTCCTAACTTTGGTCCAACGACCGATCCTGGAGCTCCTTACAGTCCTTGCAAACTACAGGTTATATCGTCTGCTGTTCTTTGATGTCTCTCCCAGCAAGGATACTACACAAAGAAGTCAAAGAAGACAGCGCCTTCTTTTCAATTTAGCAGGGAAAGGGACAGCAAATGAGAAGCCCTGGGACGAGGTTGCGTTGTTTTGGTACAGCGCAGAGCAGAGGAAAATGGCGGAACAATTCACACGCTTCGCGAAGAAAAAATAGCCAAACTACTGCCTAAAAGCGTAGCAAGAACAGCAAGAATGCAATTCGAAAAATGGCATCTGCTATTCAGAGAATATCTGCTAGACATGAACATCCCCACATGTCCATATATATCTTTACCGGGATTTAAGAAAACTGAGTTAGCAAACATTCTGCAATTTCTCTCAACTTCCTCTGTCTTAGCTTGTTTATTGTGTTATTTGTTTTCGTGCCATCTTTTCTTGGTTGTTTCGTGGTTAGGGATTTGTGTAGAAGTGACTGTAGACCAGACTACGAGCAGTCTCTGTTTTTTCTTTGTCTGTCGAGCAAACGCGCGAGACACACAAATGACCACGCGCGTAACTGAAGGCGCCCTCGTTTCTAGTGTCTTCGCCGCTCGACGCTCGACGCTTGCGCGTGCGTGCACTCCCTCGCAGTCTACTGTAAACAGACCAGGAGACAGACTCAATTTCGCGAATTTGACGTCATTTCTATGGTCGATAAGAGTACAGACCATGGAACATTGTTGTCGACTTGTTCAAAAGAGGCGACTGCTTAATTCACGGAAGAGGTTTTCTGCAACTTTGGTATGAGGTAAACAGGTTAGCTTTATGATTCAGGTTTGACCAGAAGTTTGAGTTTAAGTGAAGACTAAAGGCAAATTCCCTTGAGAGCATTATGTTGACAAAACTTCAAGCCGAAAAGGTCTCTTTACGCGAAACTAATATTTGAGAAAAATCAGTTGGTCTTGCAGAAGAGGTGCGAAGCAGTGCGGGGAATGAGGAGGAGAAGGTCTTCGGAGCTCGCTTCTCAAGGCAAGAAAACTCTCACTTGCGCAAGAAACAATACCGCCACCTACGTCTTATCTTTTCGTGGAGAAAAGAAAAAAAAATTGTGCGTCTTTTTGAAGCGATTCGCTGGCTTGTTTTGCGACCCTGGGACAAGAGTAACGCGAAAGGAATTCGGAAGTGAACTAAGCGTGACATCAACCCACGATCCTAGTCCTGGGACAAATCGCCGTAAGCTTTCTTACGCGAGTGTGGGATACCTATGCATGCAGTCAAAGGGTTACGCAACAACTGAATCATAGCTGAAAAAAACGAGTATCTCTTATTCAGATTATTACAACGACACTTAAACCATTGAAGGTACAATACTTTACCTTTTCACGAATAGCTGCTACTTTTAAACAGGTCATGAACTCGACACACCCCCGTAAAAACTATCACACTTAATTCACGTTAACGAAGAATAGAAAATTGTATTTCTCAATGATTTTTTTACAAAACTGTGATACCGAGGAAATACATTTGTACTTAACTCAATACATTCTTACCGATACTGTATTATAAATTAAAACGACATGTCCATTTACGTCCGTTCGTATTTACTCCAATGACTTCTACGCGCGCGTAAATCAGTTACTTTGCGCAACAACAACACAAGACATGAATTATACAATTTCCTTCTGGCAAAGCAAGCATTCATCAGTTTAACGCAGACTTTACTCATCTGTATCCGATGATAAATACTTCGCTCCAGTCAGCTGCCTTTCCCTTGATGCTGGTCTTTTTCTCGGAGCCATGCACCAACTTGATGCTCAGTTTTCCATCACCTTTAGGGAACCACATGTTGGAAGAGTTAACAGCCTTCACACCCTGGCCAGTGGCAACATTCATGTACTGGGTGAATTGCTTGCCATCCTTGGTGGTAGAAATCTCGTAGTAGCCTCGTTGGAACTCGCCTTCTCCGCTCGTGGTGACGAACGTATATATGAGCACCTCGTTGGCAGAGTCAGGAAGCTTCATGTCGTAAGTTTGTACATCTTGGTCAAATTCAGGAAGTTCGCCCAAGGAAGTCTTTGCAGTTTCGTACAGGGCCATGGTTTTAAATTTGCAAGAGCTGGGTTTGCAGAAGCTTTTTCAGAAAAACTCGAAGCAGGAGAAGCTGCACTAAAAAGCGACGAACGAATACGGTATTGTGAAAAACAAGTGCATGCGTGTGCTTTATATGCTGTCATGAGCTTCATTGCAGCAACCAATGAGCTTCCGAGCACGTGTATTGCTTAATCTCTTTTGAGTGGGTTTTAATTCTCAACAAAAGCCTTTGAGACATTTCTCAATCCTAATACTGTTATGTGTTAATTGCTGGTCAAAGGGTTAACATTATTTTTTGTTCCCGGGACTTGTAGCACGTACAACCAACATAGATTTGCATATTGTTTCAAAGCAAAAGCAAATAGTACCACATACCGTGGACAGCTATAAGTAAACTATACGGCTATATCCCATAAAAGCAATCTCTCCTTCTCAAGTGCTTTTTTTATTTTATTTTTATCTGGTGAACTGGAACGGACCAAGGTGTTATGTTTATATTCAGCTAATCACTTATGCATAGCCCCCTAATTCGTTCCCCGTCCCTACACTTAACACACAGACAATTTTCATTTCAAAGGAAACTGAGCTTAGAGAAACTCTAATTAACATCAACACTGGACGCACATACCATAAAATTTTAAGACTAAAGGACTTTAGTGGCCAACGAAAATGGAACAAAATAAGTAACGGGATTACGTAACGTCACAAATGAGTTTTTGAACTGTTTTGGTTTTTGTCTTGTCATGTAAATTTCGAGCTAAAACGATTACACAATGTTGCGTAACTAACAAACCTATTGTTCCTACAGGAAAATTCAAAGTACTTTCCTGTAAACAAAGACCTCTAGTACGTCTTTCGCAAGTGAACCCGTTTTTTAAAACCATCTTTGCTATCTACATAGCGTTGCACAATTTCCGCTGTGAACAGAGGTTCATTTTTGAGGCGCCCTTAATCTTGTCCCCTGGGTATGGTCTTCTATTTCCTTCCCCTGGAGCCCTGTCGCCTGCTATCCGTCAGTGTAGCCTGAGCCTGTTCACAGACCCTCGATTTTCTCTTAAAAGTCCGCCGAGCGGGCGTGATAAAAATAAAAACAGCGGGGAATTAAATGACAGCTAGCGCAAGGGGGTTTCTTCTCGTGCTCCACGCTCGCTCTCGCGCGCTCGTCGAGTATCAAAAAGAAAAAATAAAAAAAAAATAAAGCAACGTCTGGGTGCAGGCTAGTTTAGCCTTAGCCTGCGAGCAATCTCTCGGTCGACAGTTTGCGATGCCACCAGTATTTCTCAGGCTAGCTGGCGCACGTGCAGCTGAACTGAACTCCTTATAAGACAAATGTCAGTCCCGCAGCTCGTCCGTCTTAGAAAGAGTTGACTGTATTTTGAAAAGTATGTGAAGCAAAGCCGAGGTTTGCGTGCAGTGTACGGACAGACGGGCGTAGGAGGATATTAGACGGTGGAAATTTACCTGAATTGGTAGTTGAGTCATAGTTAGGAAATCATATGTTTAGTTGCAGCCAGAAATTGCGAAAAAAAATATGGCGAATTCAGACATGCCTTGTTTTTATTTTTCTTTAAAAACGCATCTCACTCCCCAGGTCAGTTTTGAACGAACCGGTTGATTTTATCCAGGGACATTGAACTGAAACTTCCTAAAATTCCTTAACGAATAGTTATAATTATATGTATGTGTGACAATCGCATAAAAAGCGCTGGTTAACAGGTGTAGTACCAAAGTAATAGCAGAAGTTGGATTGCGAATCCATGAGTTGAATGGTTTAA